AAAAACACATCTTAACAGATTTAGACTAACCCTCTACGATTTTGGTTCTAGAGAAAGAAGTTCTCTGGCAACATACCGGTATTGAAGTGGAAACGATGCAGCTGCAGTTGTTGGAATAAAATTGGTGGGGAAAAATCCAGATTGAGTAGCCAAAGAAATTGAAGGCGAGGACGGTGGTGGATCCTCTGGAAAGGCAGAATTGAAAACCAAAGTTGCACCCTTGAACAATTACAGAACTTGAAAGGAATGTTTCCTAAAGTAAGTCTGATGCAATATTTCCCAGTAGCATTTTGGAGCCGCGCAAGTTTTACGCTTTGCGGCAGCGTGGGAAGCGCAATGCTTATTATCTAGACTTCTCAGTGGAATCAGAAGCAACATTAAGATTGGACAGCTGTTGTCCAAATATGTAAGTGTAAGGCTCACTGGCTGCCTATACGGATAGAGACTCATGATTCGGAAGTGTTCGAAACGATTCAGTTTTCGAGTTGATTCCGGAAACGCAATAATGCTTCCTTTTTGAAGAGTAAGAAGATGAGAACATAAGATTCAGGAATCAAAAGCAGAGAAAATCGCAATCTCCAAAACCTCACCAAGCCTTCTGTCATCGTCTCTTCTGCTAATGTCTTCACTTGATGCGGTGCTCTGTGCATAACCTGGTCGAAAACCGTACGGCCGCTGCTGGTAAGCAGCTAGTGGAACAGAATATTGGGCTTGAGGTGGTGCCGACTGCATCACATAGCCTGAACCATTACCTCATCATTTCCTTGGGCAAATGATATTCCACTAATTACTCGACTATCTTCCATATGCGCTGACTCTCTTGATGGTTATGGAAAAAAGGACCCAACCCCTGTTGTCGATGTCAACAAATGTTCAAAATGGTATTCATACCCGAGTTTACGGATGTATAAAAGAACCATTATTGTGCACGCTTACCCTGCGTTGGAACTTGTCCATAAGGATAATAGACCGGAGTTGGAGGTGCTTGAAAGTACATTGGCTGGACAGCAGGTGGGAAAAACGTTGCCTGTGGCACAATATAGTGTTGTCCGGTTGCTGGATCAACAAGCACTTGTCCTTGAATGGGAATACCTGAAAAAGGAACCATTAGGCACTATAATAACCCAAGTTCATTCCAACTTAATGGCCTGGTTTTCTGCAAGGAGGATGAATGTCCATGATATGAGCACTAATGGTAAGCTCATGCTGTTCTAAAGCAAACACGCTACTAATGAGGGCTCAAATCTGAAAGATACTGCTGCGCTCAGATATAGGAAACTTTTCGGGTCTATTTCAGTTAGGAGAGGCATCATAATGCAGTTTTTACAGAAAGCTAGGGTAACTCCGAGCCAAGGGAGAGTGTAGC